TGACGATAGAATTTATTCTCATAATTGTTTTAATAGCTTTTGTATAATCCTCATCGCTATTATGAGATATAAAATGTATTTATCAAATCTGTAATCATTATGCCAAAAAATCTGAATTACTGTAATATTTTGCATATTGTTAAAACTGTAACTTTAATTGTAAAAAAAAATTAAAAAAAGGAAACTTTATTCAATGTTTTTGAGAATATAAATTCATATACTAATTAAAGAAAGCATATAATTGTTCCTGTAAAATTAAAAAATAGGGCCTTGGTATATGACTCAGCTGTAATGTGCATGCCTAGCAATATATATAAAGCCTGCATTTCAAAGAAAAGAAGAAAGAAAGAAAGGAAGGAAGGAAGGAAGGAAGGAAGGAAGGAAGGAAGGAAGGAAGGAAGGAAAGAAGGAAGTTAGAGGGGGAAGGAAAGAGGGAAAGGGAGGGAGAGAGGGAGGGGAGAGAAAAGAGAAAAATAAACAGCAAAAACGAGATGGAGACAGAAGGAGATAGAGGAAATAGAAAATGAGAGAGAAAGGCAAATAGCAAAGAGAGATAGACAAAAACAGAGGCAGAGACAGAGACAGAAAAATCAAAGGACAAAATTATTAATCAAACCACTTTGGGGATATAGATCTAGAGGAACTGATACCATTATCATCCCATGTTCATTACAGTATCGTTTTTAGTAACCAGGCAGAAACATCCTAAGTGTTCATTTAAAATGAGTGAACAATACACAAAAATACACTGACATGCACAGCTACACACATACACATAAACCTACTTAAACACAATAGAATATTCTTCAGTCTCAAAAACAGGAGTCCTGTGTTTTATAATAACATGAATAAAACTGGAGGTCATTGTAATAAGTGAAATTAAAGTCACAAGAAAACAAAGGCTGTGCAAGGTGTAGTGGTGCATGCCTTTAATGCCAGCACTTGGGAGGCAGAGGCAGGTAGACCTCTGTAAGATCAAGGCCAGCCTGGTCTACATAGTGAGTTACAAACTAGGTGAGGCTACAGGGAGACCCTGTCTAAAAAAAAAACTTTTAATATGTAAAATTTAAATTGGACATGATGATTGGTTTCTGGCGATCTGCTATGCAGCTTGGCAATTAACGATTATATTGTGTGATTGAAAACTGCTAAGAGAAATCAGTGTTCTCACAGAAAGTAAGTTTTTGTGGGAAATATGTTCATTAATTTGATTTAATATCACAATATATTTATACATTAAAATAAAACTGTGGATCACAAAAAAATAGATAACAATGAAAATGGTGCTTATTAATAGAAAGGCAAGTTGGCTCTATGGAACACAACTGATCAGTGCCCTGTGACTATTACACAGCTCTGGCAGTCCTCCATCATTAATAAACTCGCTTCCCCATTCTAATCTGCCCAGAGATGTGTGACACTTTTGAGTGTCACATAACATCTTTCTGGTTCCACGTTGGTTTATTAAGCTAAATAAAATCTTTGATTCTTACTCATTCATAATCTGAATGAGAATCACAAGTTGTACCTTATTTTGGCAATTATCTCTTAAAATAATTTTCTTGGGTTAGAAAGAAGACCCAGTGATTAAGAGCATACACTTGTTCTTCCAAGGAAGAGAATTCAGTACTCAGCACCCACATTGGACAGTTCACAACACCTGTAACTCCAGCTTTAAGGGGATCCCAAGCCTCTGCACTCATGTGCAGTGTTCACACATACACATAATTAAAAATAATAAAATAAATATTTTAACATATGGCTTTCCTTATAACTCACCCCTCGCTCCAAGGGTGGATGGACTCTTTCGTGTGTGCTTTCTTCTTGCAGTTACTGTTTTCTTCTTGCAGTTACTGATGCACCTGCAAGTCCAGTGTTATTATTGGCATGGACTTGGGAACCAGGCTCCCTGAGCTCAAACCCTAGAGTCTTAAACAAATGTCTTGGTTACTCTGTGCCTCAGTTTCTTCAGGGCATCTCACTGGATTTTGTGGTAAACATGTGAGCTACAGAAATAAAACAAAATGTGTTGAACATAGAACAAGCCTTTTTGCTTTATACCCTCCAGGTGGCAAGACAAACCCAGTGGGGCCTGCTGCTTCTTGAAGGTCCTGAGACCGTGTCCAGCTCTGCCGCTGCTTCTGAGAATGAAAACCAGTTTCTAATTTAGGACTCTTTGGGTGTTACTACTTTTTAATTTTCTCCTCTCTCAGGATATTATGATCAAGCAAAAATTTATATGGCAATTTTCATTTGAGGGAGCTCATTTATTTTACAGATTGACTATATCAAATCACCACTCACCATCATAATGGCCCTTCAGATGGGTCAGGTGCATTTACTGTGTTGATGTACTCTGAACATCAAATCTAACAGCCCTCAGGAGCCTCTGCTCAAGCTAGGAAAAAATGTCAGGTAGCCCAAGAAAACTGGAATAATCATACTATCTTTTAAGTAAAATAATTAGGGACCCCACGTGAATGGTCCCCTCGGGAACGATGGTTTGTTTTAGCTTCCTCGGTCTGCGTCAAAGTCTTTCAGAAGTGAGTTCTTGGCGCAGAGAGGTTTTTCGCACAAGACCCCATCCCCAATGTGTGTGTGTGTGTGTGTGTGTGTGTGTGTGTGTGTGTGTACACGTGTGCGCTGCATGTGTTCTACTGTATGTGTACATGTGTGCAGGTGCACATACACATGTGAGCACATACGGGTGTAAAGACTAAAGATCTACTTTGAGTGCCTTTGATTGCTCTCCACATTATTTTTTGGGTAGAGATTCTCACTGAACTTGGAACTCACTGATTCGAGCGAGCTGGTTGGTCAGAGAGCTCTAGAGATCCTGGTTTCTACTGCTTCAGTGTTGGGGTCACAGTGTATACCACCAGGCCAGCTTTTTACATGGCTTTTGGGAATCTGAATTCAGATCTTCATGCTTTTACCAGCTGAGCCATCCCCTCAGCCTCTCCAGGCTCAATTTTATCACTCAGAATGGGCTTGGTTATGTGGCTGTACCAACCCCCCCGCCAAATCTCCATGCTTTAAGGCAATACAGGCTTATTTCTAGCTGAGGTCACATGTCAGCATGTTTGGGCAGTGTTTTCTGGTCCACATGATCTCCACTCTAGATTCAGACTAGCATTTCCAGCCTGGCAACAACAGAAAGAGAATATGAGAATAAGCCCTTGGAGGATTTTGTTCTGAAGTGACCCATCTCACCTCTGGTGACCTTTCAATGGCTGGAGCACATTTATGGCTATATGTAGCTTCCAAAAACTCAAAGTGAAATGGTACTGAGTATCAGAGGTGGTGACAATGGTGACGTTTGCCACACCAGTCATGTCACCTAAGTTTTGAGTGCATTACTGCCTTTGTTCTTATTTATTAAATGTGCCGTCAGCTTCTAGAACACGATATAATTGCATTTCACTTGGTCTCTTCTAAGTTGGCAGCATCCCTAATATTATCTGAATTGGAACTAAGCTCCTCAACAGGACAAGTTTGTTCCTTCAAACTCTGGCTTTTCTCTAAAACAGTGCCTGTGTTGTTGTCAAAATGTGAGCTTGTTTTTCCTCCTGAGTTTTCTGCCTTGCCCAGCCCCCATCTGGGTCTAATTGTAAAATGCATCTGCATGTTTTAAAGGCTCATTATGTAAATGTATCAGAGTCCATATCCATCAACAGATAATTAAGAAGGCTATATACATATTTATGAGTTAGCTTAATATTGCTTTAATGAGGAGGTTTACTAGAAATATCAAATCAAGGAGGCAAAAAGAAAAATGATCATAACAAAGATGAACACTAGTTTTGATCAGTTCTTGGTAGCTCAGAGAACTGTCAGAACATTCAAAGAGCTGTCAGAACTCAGATTTCCGATGAGCCTACCGTAAATGGTAAGAAGCAGCTGGCAGAGCTTGAGTCTTAAGTCACTCAAGACTTCTTTGAACACAAAGCTAGTCTTTCTGGTTTCAAACTGGAGAAGTTTCCAGAAGCCAAAGTCTCATGTTTCTACAACCTGGAAAAGAAGAAAGAGGGGGTAATGCTAGAGCTATATGGTTCCTGTGTGCTACTTAGGAAAAGGTGCTAAGGTGCTTCCCGAGAGAGGAAGATGGTCATTCTCTTCTCTCTAGCAGACAAGCCCACAGGTACGTGGGGGAGAAGTTGCTTTGTTCACTCTCATAGGTGCCTCTTGTCCTGATACCAGGATACACAGCCAGTGGGAGTAGCACAGATAGAGCTCAGACTTCCCCTACCCTGTGGGCCCGGCACCTTTGCACAGCAGGCAATGGACACAGTGCCAGCCCCATCTAGAAACCCCTTGAGTTCCCACCAGAATCTGGCCTAAGTCTGCAGTAACAGAGACTTAGCCCTCATTTTATCTAGCAACGTATCTTCTGTTTGCCTAAATGTCTGTTCGACCCCACCTTTGGGGCATCTCTCTTGTATCTCAACTACCTATATTCATTCCATTGGCCAGTCCAGTCACATGGTACCATCCAATTCCAAAGAAAATGGGAGAAATATGAGCTTTCTGGGTGATCAGAAACAGCATTGTCTCTAACAGTGCACCCATCAGTTCACCAAATATCCATTTCACAATCTTCACTCACATAGAACATCATCATGCCAAGCAAGAAAACCCGAAGACCCTCCTCATGAGTCTAGGACTTCATGGCATGGCCAGTCCTCACCATGGGGTCTAGACTGGCCCAGTCTAGAGACCTGTGAACTAGAGGACAAGTTAAAACCCATCTTGACCGATATACGTTGTGGAGGAGGACGATCCTATCCAAAAGTAAAGTCCCCATTCCATCAGGGGTGTAATGGAAGAGGCACTCCTTGCCCACAGCAATTCTAAAATGCTGGCTTTGAGGAAGGTTCCCTGACTTGATCCAGTGCTGATCTCTGGGACAGTGCTTTGCCTGACAGTCTTCCTTGCATGTCCGAACTGGATGCTAACAAGGATGCCTCTTGCGTTGCTCCTCAGCTTTGGGGCCCTGGTTCCTCCTGGTTCCTCCTAGAGCAGGTTACGGGCTAAGGTTATTTTATAACTTCAACAATCAAAATCTTTTTCCTTTTCTTTTAAATTCATGCTTGGGTTTTCTTTGGCTTAAACAAGTCTCTCGACTTCAGTTAGTGTTGGGTCAGGAACCCCTTCCAGCCTCCTCTCTCTCTCTCCACCCTCCCTACCCTCCTTTACATATTTCCAGACTCCATGGCCCAACTCTCAGTCTCATGGTTCATTTAACTGCACCAAAGTCTGGAAAGTATAATCTCATTTTCTTCTTAAAAAGGAAAAGAAACAGGGTTCGAATGCATATATTTTTCTTTCCCACCTGCAGCCCTCTATGGTTGAGGAAGTAAATTATCCCAACTAGCAACATCCACTAAAAAGCACATGTTTGGAGTGAGGTAAATTAAAATTCTAAAATTTCTAAAACTGAAAGTGAGTATTGTTTCCAGAACAAAATAAGATCTGAAGTTGACAAAGCAGAATATTCTAACCAGGATAGAGGGCTTCAGTCGTCTCCATCATAAAATGGAGTTAATAACAGAATTTCCTTCATTGTCATAAACTTCTATTAGACAATGTTTGTTAAATACTTGGCACAGTATCATGCAAGGAAATGTCGGGCTAGCAGAGCATGAACAATAAATATGAGGCTGTGTTCATATGCGGCACAACTCAGCTGTGTAATCAATTTTACTTCCTTTTCCCATATCTGAATCTAACATCTGTGTTAAGTCCATTCCTTTTGATGACAGAAACTATATCTCAGTTCATTTTCAGCCTCTTCCAGGAGTTTGGGCAAGGTCTATGGGACAAAAACAGCTCCAGATAGCAAGGCCAGAGGGTAGACATCTGGCCTTCCTTATTTTTCCCTGTCTACTGAGGCAGCCCTGGCCATCTGGTTTGTGTGGCTCACATCTGGCCTCTCCTTCTTTCCTACCACTAAGCAGGTCTTTAAATTCAATGTGCCAGGTCTGGGAGACTCCGAAGTACACAGGAAACATCCTATTTATTGTCCAGTTCATTCTGGAACCTCAAAACCCTCATTGAGGCAGACTTGGCCCTGTCTGTCCTGACTCATTTCATACATGTATGCCTTCTGTTCTCACACCTCATTGGCCTAGGAACTCAGGGCTCTTCCCACACCCTTGCAACACAGCTCAGATGTTTTCTGCCCCTGAATTTCCAATGCTACCTGGAGAGTCCTTCGTTCAGCATCAGTCAACCCCTGTCCTCCCAGGACTCTACTGAAAGAGTCTTGATGGCTTCTGAGACTATACTTTCCAGTACCTTAGCCACTGACCAAATGTGGCTATTCAAATGTTAATGAAGTAAAAGTATGTTCATCGAGTCACACTGGTCATATTTCAAGGGCTCAGTAGCCATGGTCTAGAGAAGGTGGCTCTTATTGTGGAACATTTCCAGGAAGTACTATTGGACCACACTGGTCTCAAGTTAGTTTTCTCAGTGGCCTTCCCCTTCTCTTCCCCTCAGAATCTTTATCTGACCTGGAGAAGAAGACTTGGTCTCACATGGTCATCCAGTCTTACATATACCCTGTCTCATGTCTGGGCTTAGGATTAGACACTCAAAAGCCAAGAAGTGATTCCTTTGTTTTCTGTGCTACACTGGGTTACCAAAGGCACCAACAATGAGAAGTCTTTGCTACAAGTAGAGTGACAGATCATTCCAGTTTGCCAGGGCCAAGAGGATTTGTGGGATATGGATCTTACCAGGAAGTCCCAGACAACTGGAACGAAGCCGGTCGGTCACCTTAGTTACAAAATACAGCTTACCAATAATGACCATGGGGGGAAACTACCTATTGTAATTTCTTAAAATTCATCTCACTTCTATAGCCAATATTAATGTGATAAAAATCACACTTTAACCTCCTAAATTGGATATATTTCTTTTTCTTTCAGAAGTTTCCCTGAACCCCACTCTCCCATGCCCCTCCCTGCTGGCTCTGTGACATCTATGGTTTTCTACTGGTTCTACCTGGTATTTAACAGTGCATGTCTCTTGTCACTATCCCCTCTCTCCCTCACCAGGTGAACTATTGGAGTATCTGACACATCACTTTTCTCTGAGGAAAAATGATCAATCCTGGGGTCAGCTGAAGAGTGAGCCCCATGCAGGGCTTCACCTGGACAAACAGCATGGGCCCACTCCACAGAACCCCTGTGAGCATTAAACTCAGCCCTTCGATCAGTTGTTAATAGCTGCCTTTTGGCCCATTTCTAACTGACATAGTGCCAGTTTCAAAGAGAAGAGTGAAGGCAGAGAAACTGCTGTCTCTTACCTGCTGACTGTTCCTCACCCCTCTCAGTCCTCAGCCTGACGTTTCCCTGCCCTGGTTGATTAAGCGAGTGAACCAACTAAAAATATCTCCATAGCAGAAGCTCAGAGGGCTGAGAAATTAAAAAAAATGAGCTGTGCAGGAAGACAAATGACCTCCTTTCACCCTGGACATCCTCTCATGAGGTTCCTTAGCCAGTAACTACCATGCATGAACTCTCTGGCCATGAACATGATTCCTGCTGCTGTTCCTGCAACATCCTCCTCCCTCATTAATTTATCCCATATGGTCTATTGCAAGTATAGCCTCCTCTAGAGGCTCATGATTTATGTTGGCCAAAGCATTGTTTCAATTGCTAATCTCACGGATGATTCAGAAAACAAAGATATTTTATAGTTTCTTAACCAAACTTGAATTAAAATCTTGGAAAGTCATCTCTAAATATGTAGGTGGTACTCAGGGCTGAGTCCTGGGCTTTGTGTATGCTATTCAAGCACTCTACCATTGAGCTAAATCCCCAACTGTTTTCATTTTTCATTTTGAAACAGAGTCCCACTAAATTACCCAAATGGGTCTTGACGTCATCCTAGGTAGGGCTTGGACTTGTGATCCTTCTGCCTCAGCCATCTAAGTAGCTGAGTTACAAGCCTGTCTTGAATATCTATCTATCTATCATCTATCTATCTATCTATCTATCTATCTATCTATCTATCTATCATCTATCATCTATCTATCAATAGATACATATCTATAAATATATATATATATTATTTTTTAACAAACATTCCAGGTGTTTCTTGTTGCAAAACATTGGCGATTCAATCACTTTTAAAACATTCACAAATTGTGCAATCATCACCAAAATCAATGTTAGAACACAGTTGCAACCCCAAAAATAAACTCTATACCTTTAGCTGTGGCCCTCAATTGCCCTCCTCTCCCATGTCCCAGCTCTAGTCAGTCAGGAATCTGTTTATGTTTCAATAGCTTTGCCTATTTGGACATTGCATAGAAATAGAATGTCACAACATGAGGTCCTGAATAGTTTCCATCACTTAGATGATTTTTCAAGATTCATCCATATCGCAGTAGCTGTATCCGTTCTTCATTTTCTTTTACATACAAATCATATTCTATTGTATGTATTTGCCAACTTTTATTTTCCCATTCATTAGTTGCTATACATTTGGGTGGTTCCTGCTGTCGGCTGGTATGAATAATGCTGTTATGAATATTCATGTACAAGTTTTTGTGTGCACATATGCTTGGCTATGTGCCTGGGAGTATAATCTTGGTTCTTATGGCAACTCTAAGTTTCTGAGAAAACGTTAGACTCTTTTCTACAATGGCTACACCATTTTACATTCCTAGCAGCAGTGTATAAGGGTTCTTGTTTCTCAGCCAACAGTGGCTATTATCTGTCTTTTATTACAGCTCTCCTAGAGTGAAGTGGCATCTTATTGCAGTTTTGACATGCAAGTCCCTGGTATCTAATGCAGAATCTTCTTCCACTCCCTGCCTTTTGAGAACCTTTGATTTGCTGCCCATGGAACAGTGATGGGGTTACCTTCCTTATGATGCTTACAAGATGGTCAGCTCTCAGGGAAGCTGGTGCACACCGTTTAGCTGCCTAAATCCCCTCAGTGATTGCCGGGTGCTGGGAATGCTTATGCCACTTGTCATGACTCACATAATGTATTGCCCAAACCTCCTAGCTCTTTCTATCCAGATGAAGGAACAACCACAGACACCAGCAACAAATGACTGGCAGGACCTTTGTCTGCCATCATGAGATGCAGATGCCAGCTAGACCCAGATATGCAATTTAAGCCAAAGCCACCATTCAAAACCAGACTCAGTCCTCTTGACAGCAGGTACTCCTTAAAGAATTGCTGGCATTTGGGGAAGGCTTATACTGTATAGGCACAGGTTACACCATTAATTCATTGAGTCATCATAGCCCCATGAAGGAGGATTGCTGTCGCCATAGACAGATGAAGAAACTGTCTATGAAAAGGTCATAGAAAAGGTCAATAATTATTTAGGGTTACTTAATAGAAAGAAGAAGAGCCTATATTTGAACTCAGGTTGCCCAGTGCCAGACTGGACTGCCTCCTCCAGTGAGCATTGGGTGGGTAAATGAACAAATTCCAATCTCTATAAAAGGGAGAGGCAATATAAGCAGAGCAAGGAAACTGGGCAACCTGCTCCTATGAGTAACATCTTGACCCCCTAATAAAATTTTAATTCCTGATGTGTGATGGGCTTGGGGATTTAATAAACTAAATAGACACAAATCCTGAGCTTCTTTACCCATCAAGAAGTATTGACAGTGGAGATGGGAATATACTCATTCTGCTGCAGGCTTGAATAAGTGCATACTTTCCAGGTCTTGTGGGGATGCCTTGACAGTGAGGTAGGAAGGGCATAGAAATGTTGATGGTTCTGGACCAAGGTTTTTCTTATCAGAGGTTTCCTTAGGATTGCGGCTGGTAAAGATCAACCCTTCAGTATCCCCTGCCAACGGAACTGCTGTACACCCTTGGACTGTATGAGAATTTTAACAAAATGATCCATCTCTCTGAGGGCATTGGTGAGTTGGACAGGGCCTGGATGTCAACAAGTAGCAGCCTGGTTGGCTTGGGAATCCTTGCATAGTTCCTACCCTGAACAACCATATATAGTATCCCTGCTGCCATCACCCTGCACTCCAGAGAGTCGGTAACTGCCTATTAGTGACTAAGCAGTCCTAATGCTGGTGAATGGAGGGATCTTGGCAAGCAGAGAGTCACTTGCCATAAATCAAACACTGCCTTGCCAAAACCTCCTAGCTCTTTCTAATCCAGACAAAGAAACAACCACAGGAGCCAGCAACAAATGATTGACAGGGCCTTTGTCTGGCATCATGGGATGGAGAAGCCAGCTAACCCCAGACACACAATTCAAGTCAAAGCCACCATTCAAAAACAAACTCATTCATCTTAACATCAGCACCCAATTCCAAAAGCCAGGATGCCTTGGAGTCTTGAGATAGAATATAGTACCAAGGAGACTGAAACTCTGCAGCTCGAGAGTGCAGGCAATCTGCTCATGCTGGAGCCAGCGCATCCCTGGCAGCACATACTGCTTCCTACGCATTTGACACAGCTGCCTGAGACACCGGCTTTAGGAAGTGGCACATCGAGATCCTGGCCACCCCTATACAATGTCTGCCTCAAAACAGAAGGCAGGCATGGAGAGTGGCAGGCAGGAAGGGAAGGCTATAAGAGGTCTCAAAGCTACTAGGGGGTATGATGGCATGAAGCAGCATCCCTTATATATTGTCCCCCTGGAGTGCCAAGACCAATGACAAACAACTACAAAATGATGTGGTGATGATTTGCTCTGGGACTGTGGTCACAGATGGAAGAATGGTGTTGAAAGACATGAAAGGAGAGGGTGGTCATGCATGGACAGAGAAGAAAGAAATATACTGTAACAGAACACGAGTGCAGGCACAAGTCTAATCATAGTGATAATTATTGCTGGCAAGTTTACAATTGCTCAGTTTCTAAGTCTGCACGCTAATCTTCATGCCTATTACCTCACTTGCATTATTAAACAACACAACAATCCTCGTAGACGCATCTTAAAGGATGCTGAGACAAAGGAGTGAAACTTAGCCAAGATTCTATAGCTTATATATAGTGGTGGAGCTGGGTCTGGAACTCCATAGCCTGACTCCAAAGCCCATGGTCCCAAACATGACCATAAAACATAACATTCCATTCCTCAAAGGACTATCCATGTGTTAAGATGCAGTATATCTGTGAAATCACAATAAGCCTTTGAAATCAGTATCATTTATGCTAGGCATGTTCCCTATCTATATGTTAATACACACATATATGTATTAAAGGAATATTTCACTGTCTACATCATTGCATTTAATATTACCAACATCTCTGAGGAATAAATTATGGATCCTGCCTCTGGCATGTTGGTTCCAAAAGACATTTCTACAAACAATATCTTTCACTTCTTTGTGGGAGTGTGCATGAGTATAGAAGGTAGAGGTCAGCCTCAGGTGCAATTCCTTAGGCACTGTTCAACTTGTTTATCTTTGATACAGGGTCTCTTACTGGTCTGGAACTCACCAAGCAGACTGCAGTCCCAGAAATCCACCTGTACCTGCCTCCTCGTGGTTTCTGGGGATTACCAAATGAGCTATCTCCTCGGCCTTTCCTTGTCTTTTATAGCAAGATTTTCTCAATTCTGTTATTAAGAGGAAGAATCTTGGATACTCATTTTGACTCTGGGATAATTGTGACTTGCTTTGACCAATAGCATGCAGTAAAAGATTAGTTGGTAGATAGATAGATGATAGATAAATAGATGATTGATGATAGATAGATAGATAGATAGATAGATAGATAGATAGATAGATGAGAGATAGATAGAGATAGATTGCCAGAGAGATATTAAATTCAAGGAATTACCTCACGTGATTGTGAAAGCTATAAAGTTCAAAATCTGCTGGCAGTCAAAGGCTAGAGACCCAAAGAAGAGTCAGTGTTGCAGTTCAATTCCAAAGGCCATCTACTGAAGAATTCCCTCTTGTTCAACAGCAGCCCATCTTTCATGCTATTCAGTTCTTCAACTGATTGGGCAAAGCCCTCCACATTATGGAAGGCAACAAGTATCTAGGCACCATGGTTCAGCCAAGTTGACACATAAAATTAATCATTACACTGTGGACCCTAACTACCTAGCACATTGCACAGGAGTGACACTTGCTGATGCCACATAGAACAGAAGAACCACCCAGCTGAGCTGTGCCCAAATGACTGGCTTCCAAAATCATGACAAGTAATAAATTCTTGGTTTCCAGCCATGAAGTTTCAGGGATGTTTGGCATACAGCAATAGGAAACTGACAACTGCTCTAATACAGCTTGTAATTGGTGACTTTAAAAGGTAATTAAACATATAGATGTATAATTATATAATTGATGCATATTAAGAACAGAATCTATCCTTCAGTGCCTTTACTAAGCACATCTGAGACAAATTCCCATAGTACTGTCAGA